GTTTGTTCACATGTTGACAAATTATTTCTGGAATTTGATCATCAAACTTCCTTCATAGTGTTTATTTTTTCATAGCTCAGTTCTATAAACAAAGTCTATGTGATTCTACATGTTTTACTACGGAACACCAGACGATGAAGCCAGGAGACGCAGAAGTCATGAGATTCAGTGGCCTTACTGAGATTTAGAGACTACTCGGTGGTTTGTCCAATCTCACACAGCCAATACCTCTTCCAAAAACTTGTAAATATTAAATGATTTATGAACACTCTCAGCTGACACAAATATTTCTAAACTACTTTCAACCTTCAAAATCCCATATTGTTTTAAAAGTATTCAAGAAGAGGCCTTTTGATAGTCATTGGAGAAACTTCAACCTAGAAAATTCCTCAGGAATTTTATAAGAATTTGAGGTAAATAATAATTTAATCCAGACCAAGTATTTATTTGAAACGTATTTGATGGATTAATATTTTTAAGTAAATGTATCTTGACCTGTTGAATTTTAAATGTCTTACACTAACTAATCTCCATTAATGATATTAGCATTTACTGTATACTAGGCAACCTACTAAGTGTTTGAAGATATTAACTTATTAAATCCTCACCACAGCCTATGATTTGGACCCACTGTTTATTAGCCCCATTTTACTGATTAAGATACTGAGGCAGAGAGAGAGAGAGGGTATCTTTGGCCAAAAGGACACACTATTTGTGAGTGGTAGCCCTGAGCTATGAACTCTGGCAGTCTGGGTCCAAACTCCATGTACTTAACCATTGTGCTGGACTGCCACTTACCTTTCCATGAAGCAGTTTCCATCTCAATACATGCAGAAATGCTTCATAAGTGGCAAAGCCATGATTTTATACAGGTCTAATTTGTGAGGGGCTATGTGCTTTCCCATCACTGCATATTGCTTCTCACATTATTATACATAAATGGCACTTTGACTTTCTTCACCAGCCACAGACAGTATGAAGAACCATAACACACCAGCAACCATAACACAAATTCCTGGGGTTTGCTGGAGGCTATTGGCTCCTCTGGGTCACCCCCAGTTTGTGTGCTGTGCTTTTCTCTTTCTACTCTCAGGAGGTAGTATGCTTGATGGAACAGGCACCAGGCCAGGGGCGAGAGACCTGTTCCAGTCTCACAACAGCCTGGGCCGGGCAGAATCTCATCCACAGGTGGGGCATTGTGCTCCTCATTTCTCATACCTGGCTTCCTCAGTCCTCACAACTGCCCCATGAGTGAGCAGGAGAACTAACTTACAGTGAATTAAGATTCAGAGAGTTAGGTGACTCCATCGAGTTTGCAGAAAAGGACAGTATTCAGTGTAGGTCTGCTTGGCTTCAAAAACTTCACATATACTTGACAAAAGTTGCCTTGAAAATCACTTTAATACTATAAACCTCAGACTCCTCAAATAGAAAACAAGGAAATTGTGCTAAATTGTGCCAGGAATCCTGGGATTCTTTGAAGGTGTCTCATAAGTCATTTTATGAAGGAAAACCAAGGCGATAGGGCATCTGCCTCTGATGTGATGCACGTGTGCATGTGTACGCACACACGCACACACCCCCCCCCCCACACACACACACAGACACAGACCAGCAGTGCAGAGCAGTGCCCCTTTGACCTGCCTTTCCACATTTACATTGAAGTGAAGATTCTGATGCTAAAACCAGTTTGGGAACCACTCTGCTACTGATCTTTATGGCTCCTTTGCCTTTAATGCCTAGGGGAGAATCAGGGTTGTAAAACTGGCAAATCAAGCAGTCACGGTAGACCTGGGATTCATTCACCTTGTTGCCTCTATCTAGAAAGCATCCAATGCCTTTGTAAGAGAAGGTTGTGCCCCATCTTTGCTGATCTAAACAAAGTTTGAGAAAGTGTTGATTATGTCTGTGGTGATGGCTTTTTTTCCCAGGACAAGCTAGTGAGAAATAGTCTGTTTTTCCCCCTTGTGGCTACCATTATTTGAAGGTTTCCATTGGTCAGGGATGGGAAGCAATGTAGCATTTACAGTCTGTTTAAGTCAAACTCACTCTTTTTCTTTCTTTTTCTCTCTATTGTGCTTTATCCTCTTTTCACCCTGTTTACCCTCAACCCTGTGGCCCTCCACTGTCCCAAAGCCAGGTGGTAGACAGGAATGGGGATGCTCTATGTTGGTAAGAAATTAGTAAATTCATTTATTCAGTCAAATTCTGCCCCACCCCCACTGGTTCTTAGATGCTAGCTCTCAAGTAGGCATCTCGATGAATGAAGACCCATGTATCCCCTACTGCCTCACATTCCAACGAGCTCATATTCCTTGCACTAAAATCTACTGAAGAAAAGAATAAAGCCAGCAAAAGGCCAAGTGTTAATCATGGTGATGATGATCACACCTTTCTTAACACACTTGAGGTAAACTTTACATGACATACATTGCACTCATTTTATGCTCACAAATCAAAGATCTTTAGCAAATACACAGTTGTACAATCATCTCCACGCTTAAAGTCTGGAATAGTTCCACTCCCCTCACCAAACCCTAAGCATTTGCCACCTCAGATGTAGGCAGCCACCAATCTACTTTCTGCTTCTTAGAGACTTGCTTTTCCTGAGTATTTCATATAAATGGAAATATGTGGTATTTTGTGACGGGCTTCTTTCACTTAGCATACTCTTTTTAAGGTTCATCCATATGTTAACATGTCTCAGTACTTTGTTCCTTTTTACATAACACATTTTTGAATGGCAGTTTTATATAGAGGGAAGATCGTGGGTTTCAGAAACATGCAAATGTGGAACTGAATAAAAGTTGTACCACTTGTTAAGGGCATGTTCCTTAACCTCTGTGAGACTCATTGTAGAACAGGGACAATAATCTCTCCCTCAGAGAATTATTCTGTGACTTACCTGGATAATGCTGGCTAAGAAAGGACCCTCAATAAATCTAGTCTCTACATATCCCAAGAAATTTTGCTTTTCTTCTCTCTGCTTCACATTTTAAAATAATTCCTACAGCCTCCCTATAGGCCTTTGGATCAAGCTTAAAATAAAAGTCCGCATCTCAATATCAGGAATGGAATTCCACCAAGGGGGATTATACCCTTCATTAATGGAGCCCAGATGGTGAATAGCTAAAGGGATTTCCTTTAGTCATGTTGCTGTCATTTTCTACAAAGATGGTTAAGTTGTGTTTATGATTTTAAGGAGAAACAGATCCTACCCTAGAACATTTTATAGAGTCCAGTCTTACCTTTGCAAGACTTTAAGAACAACATAGTTTCCCACCAATTCTTGTAAAAACTGTTCTCATTAACAGCAACTCTCAGATACCAGAAACAAGCAGCAAAGAGCAACGCAACCCCGAGTAAATAAAAATCCCCCCAGTTCCTTGAATTTCAACTCAGCCAACAGTTTCAGACTTTTTCTTTTCTAACTTTAGAACATGGATTCTATGTGTGTAGCAAAATAGACTAAACTGAGTGCCTTGTTCATTTCTTCAGTCCTTATTTTCTAATTAGAACATGCCATCATTTGAGTTCTAATTTAAGGAGATCCTGGATAGAACCCATCATATACTCTTGGACACAAAGTTTACAAGCGTGCTACCTCTCAAACTGAGCATTAAGTTCTCTGTTCTAAATTTTCTTTTCCTTCCAAGTAATTGTTTCTCCACAGTCTTTACTTCACACTATTCCCCTTCATGATTCTGATTTTTTCTTCACACCTTGTCTTGGATTTATCAGAGCTGTGTTTCTCCCCCAATTCCTGAAAAACTTAATTCCCTTCCACCTCCTGGATTTTCTCCCAAATTCACTTCCCTTTAAGAACACTCTCACCACTAAAGTAGAAAAGGATAGTCCTTAAAATATTTCTACCAAAGTAGATTTGTAACATATTTTGTTTCTCTCTCCCTTTGAGATTAGCAAAGTGTATCTTTTTTGATGCTATAAAATTTTTTCATGGTATGAAACACCTTTTGTCAGATGTAAACTACTGATAAGTATATAGCTCTCTAGTCTTTATGTAATAATTATAATATGATTCATATTAAAGATAGCAAACAGTGATTCTTTCAAATCTGTAAATTAGATCTAATTCCTACAACTGCTCAATGTACAACATTATGTATCTGACTAAACTTAAACTTCTATCACAATAATGCCATATTCACACAAACAGAAAAAAAAAGCTATATCCAGACTGACTGAAACACTTAAATTAATGTGTTTATGTAAGGATTCCTGTTTCCTTACTCTATGTACTCATCTGAAAATAGGAACTGTTAAATTCCATGACTAACTTTTCTTCCAATCCTGAGAGATTAGGAAAGAGGGGTTGGGGTTCTAAGAGAGAAGTTTTCATTCACTGTATTACCACCTAAAGTAGGTTTGGGAATCCATTAGGTGTGATGAAAATAATTGGGGGTGCGGGCATAAACAGCTTAGGTTTAGTTAGATTAGTGAATTGTTCCAATCTTTAAGATTTTCCTATGTGAAAACTTCCCTTTCACACACTACAATGAAGAGTGTAATTTATATCCAAGGCTTTATTTTAGGGATTTCATTTTAAATGGTATCATAGGAATTTATCTCATGGTATAAATAGTTTAGTAAATCTGGGCTTTAGCAAAGATTTTCTCTCTACTGCACAGGCCTTTTGTGCCTGTGGATATCTAACAGTAGATGACAAAATAATCTTGAGGCAGGATGATTTAATTTCAGTTTGATGCCAAAACATTCTGTAGAAATTCTTTAGCTATGAATTTCAATTATGTCGTCAGCATATTGAAAGTTAATTTTTTTTTTTAAAAATCACATAATGGCCAAAAACCTTTGGTTTGTGATTTGGTTTGTTTTTAGCTCTCAAGAGAATCCTGATCTCAGGGTGGCTGGTTAATATCCCATATTTGCAGTGATCATCTCGAGGCCTTGCTACCATAAATACCTGCCCGCCTTCAAGCATCATGTGCAAGAATTACCAAACAATGTCAAGAGTCTCCTACCCTGAGATGGCAGCGAGTTTTTGGTGTGCCTGCCGGGCCATTTCACAGCCTTTGGTCCTCGTCTTGTGCATTTCCGCCCGGAGTGAGGGGCAGCTAACCGAGACATCCCCAATGGAAATGACCAGCTCTCGGTACAGAGCCACTTGCGTGTTGAACTCTTGGACAAGCTGGAAAAGAAGCGAGTTTCTTTCAAAAAGCACGTACCAGAAAGTTTTCTGTTAGTGTTCATGACAGGGGTTCTTGCTGATCCCCGAGCCACCCCCCCAAATCTCTTGCTAAGACGACTAAAATTGATGAAAGATTAAGGCACAAAGATGGTAAATTCGCTTTGCCCAGGGGCTGTTTTTCATCAGCATGTCAGCTCATGGAAGCTGTATTTTCAGACCAACTTGCCCTGACCCATTCAGACTCAGTTTCTGAAGAGCATATTTGGAGAGTACCATGCCACTCCCAGGTCACTAGAGAATTAGTGCCGGGAACTCCCGCACAGTTCGCTCCCCTATACACATATTAGGTTATGGATTAGAAGTTGCAGGGAAGAAAAAAAAAAAAAAAAAAAAAAGAAGAAGTTGCAGGGGATAAAGAACAAGGTAGATTGCAATTGCCAAATCACTCAGACTGATCCGCGCGGGCGCCAAAGCCTAACCGGAAGACCCGCCACAGCCTCTGCACTGGAACCTACGTCCCCTCCGCAGCGCTTAGTGCGCTCTGTTTGGGTTTGTTTGCTACTATCTCCCATAAAGCAACAGCCCCACCTTCCTTTTCTCCCTCCCTGTTGAGCGAGCCGGTTCACCGTGTCTCTCGCATCTACCGTTCTCTGGGGGTGGGAAGAGGCACGACCTACAGCCGCTGACCCCAAGACCCTTGGCGTGGCACTTCTTTGCAGGGTCATTACGACCTGGGTATCACGCTGAATCGGGGACTGCAGATTTAAAAATAGTGCATGTGCACGTGATCGGCATGGAGGAGCCGAGGGTGGGGGACTGGCTGGCACTCAAGCAAATGATTAACATACACAATTTCCCTACCCCCGCTCCGGAAAAAAAAAAAAAAAAAAAAAAAAAAACACGTTTTTTGTTTTTTTTTTTTTAACCTACCATCTTGCAGTCGTCCAGGGCTCTTTGGGTTTTGTAGGTGTTTTCCGAGCCGCTGCCCCTGCGCTCCCAATCCCCGCTCTGCAGGGGAGGCTTGCTGATTTGGAAGATCGAGGAGCGGGTGGACCGGCTGGGGCGCTTTTTGCGCCCATTCGGTGCAGAACTCATGCATACACATCCACCAAGCCAAAGCCACTGGTGCAGTGCGCCCCGGCGCGGGCGGCCCGGTCTTTGCCCTGCGCGCCGCCGCCAAGTAACCAGAGCCGGGACCCGAGGCGCGGCGCTCACAGGCTTGGGGCTGCCTGCGCGCGTGGGTAACCTTCAGCTTGAAGGAGAGCCGAGGAAGCGTTGGCCGTGCCGTGCAGCATTGCTTCCACTAGCAGCGAGGAAGGGGCTCGTTCAAGTTCTGCTCAGCAGCATTGCCGGCCCTGTCCCGGGAGCTGGGCACTGGCGCGGGCTCGCACCACCTTTCCGTTGGCATGAATTGCAGCCCTGGGCGAGAAGGAACGCGCCGCCCGGCGGTACCGAGTTTCCATTCAGATGGGGGAGCAGCTTTCAAAGCCTGCGCTTCAAGGGGGGTTGGGGGGACGGGTGTCGCGCTTGCTCCAGTGTCTTCTCGCAGCTGCCCTCGGTTGTCTTTGCCGGCCCTCCCTCCCCTGTCGCCAGGCCTGCAAGCGCTGGCAGTCCCAGAAGCAAGCAATTGGCTCTAATCGGCTGCCTTGATCCGACGTCTCTACGGGTTAGTCTCTTTGAGGATCCCAAATGAATCCGTGGCGGGACTGGCAGACGCAGGGAATCGGTCTGGCTGACGTTGTTCGCGGCCCAGCACATTGATAGGATGGGAATACTAATGTGATCCGTCCATACAACCCACTTCCCCCTCCACAGTTTATGCACTTATCCAATCAAATCCCCGGAAACATCAATTGCAATATTACTTCATCTGTCTATTATTAGAAAAGAAAAGTGTCATCAGAGTAGAGCACATTGCCACATGCTGGGTCCTAAACACGGATTTCAGACCAAGCAGCGTGGGCTTGAGGCCCGCACCATCCCAGACTGTCTGGTGCCTCAGATATCATAGGATCCCAAAGGAGGGGGATGTGAGGCATTTGCTTCAAAAGCAAGATCTCTTGATAATATGAAAGGAAAGCTGTCTTCCTTGAGCTTTTGGGTTTTTTTTTTTTTTTTTTTTTTTTTTTTGTCTTTCTTAGTAGGGCCAGAGGGCAGAATGCACAGAGGCACTCTACCTCACCTCATTCAGTCCAGTGTTAGCCAGTAAAGCTCTTGGTCTGGTGTTCCAGTCTCAGCTGCCAGTGTTTCCCAGTAGAGACTTGAATAAGTTAGACTCAACAGACCTGCTGAGGTCTAAACCACCCTCTTTCATCAGTGACTGAGTAACTCAGAGACCAATGGAGGTGGCCCAGGAAAATGGAGAGGATGCTGGCATGAATGGACTAAGGTCCTGGAGCAGTTAAGTTCACCCTTCCCACTGACATCCTAAGATACTTGTGGAAGGAGAAGAGGTGGAGTGGGCATTCAACTTCAGTGCCCTAAGATGCTTGCTCCCAAGAATGAGTTAGAGGGGACAGTTAAAAGAGGTCTGAGACGGGAATTAAAGCCTAGTGAAGAACATATTGGAGGTTCCTGGTCAATCTTTTAAAGAGATATGGAGTATAATACACAAAGATGGAGATCCAGAAATAGCCAGGAAGTCCAACAACCTAAGGACGGTATCTCTAGAATTTTTTTTTATTTTTTACAAGACAGTAAGCATAATGGAATGATGTGGTATAAAAAAGCATAAAAAGACAATATTTGGTTTTTGTCCCAGTTCCTGGCACAGAGCTCCTAAAACTCTTGGAATTTCCTGATTATAAAGGTGATGGGGCTTCTTGTCACCAGAAAGATCAAGTCTTGATTATAGGTTTGCAACTTTCAACCTGAGCCCTACCCCACCTCCCTTCTACTACCTTCTGGGAAGGCAAGAAGAGCTAGAGATTGATTCAGTCCTGAATAGTCAATGATCTGATAAGTCATGGCTATGTAAAGAAACCTCCATTAAAAACTGTTAAATGACAAGTTCCGGGAGCTTCTGAGTTGATGAAACTATGAGTGTTGGAGGACAAACCCCCCCCCCCCCCCCCCGCCCATACCTTGGCCCATAGGTGTCCTCCTGGGGCTATTTGCAAGTTGTATCCTTTATAATTAATGGATAAGTAAAGTACTTTCCTGATTCTGTGAGTCATCCTAGCAAATTATCAAATCAGAGGGATGGTTGCTGGGAACCCCTTAATTTGAAACCCAGTTGAACAGAAGTGTGGGTAACCTGGAGATATGATATTTGTAACCGGTTTCTGAAGTGAGGCCAATCTCGTGGGACTGAGTCCTTAAGCCTGTGGGCTCTGGTGCTAACTCCTGGCCGGTGCTGGAGAGCTGGAGAAGTACTGTTGAAAATGACACCGTATATTGAGGAAGAAGAGAATGATAGTCAGCTGCACTTGTACATTGTCTCACAAAAGATGGAGTGTCGTTTTTCTCTAATAAACAATAGGGCAGCAAAGCATCAGTCTCCACTTGAGACCTCCATGTGCTGTGATCCTGTGGGCGCATAGATGATGCAGACACCAGGGTGAGAGACTCTTCTGTTAGCTAAGTCTCCCGAACTACAGAAGATAAAAGAGATTAACTCGTAGTCAGCTCTATGTTCAATTTTCTCTCTACTCATGTGTAGGGAGGAGAGGTTGAGGACACACAAGGTGATTTGTGGGGATTTGCTGAGTGGTGGGGATGCTAAGGAGTAAGGTTACCGGGGGCTCGGGTGCTTTAAGGTACGATGGATAATATTAATCTGTAAATGAATACTGAGCTGCTGAACTTAAAGAACTTTAACCCAAGATTGGCAGAACTTTGGAGAACGAGAGAAAAGGGACTGCATTTTACATGTGTGTGGACATAGACAGGATGCTGGAGAACAGCCTTCTGGAAATCTTTGCCACCCTCTGATATTTTATCCTCTTTTCATGCAAAGAAATAGTGACTGTCACCATTTTGAAGCACATCAAAACTCCTCAGTAGTAGGTTTCTACTCCAGCAACAGCCATCTGGTGTATACTCCCCCCTTCTGCCTAGAGACAATTTCAGCAAAATAAAAGGAAAAAAAGACAACATGATTTTGCTGGCTTGTTTCTATGCCATTTTTCTTGCGGGAGGTGGTGATGTGTTGCGGGGGGAAGGATGGGTCAAACACAATACCACCTCTGAAGGATGATATAGATTTGGAACCCACAGGGAATTAAGTGGAAATTGTCATGTGTAGCTCTCCCTTGGCCTTCCCTGATACATGGCTCAGACCATTTTTCTGAGAAGGGAAGAAATAGCATCATTCCCAGAGCTGTCTCTCTCAGGGACAAATGCTGTAATCAGAATAGCAGCAGGCAGGCTTAGTTCCCTCACCTTCCCCCACATTCAAAACAGTATGAATTTACATTCCTGGGGCTGTCTGCCAAGTGCAAGGGTAAAGTGCAACTGGAAATCCCAACAACAAGGCCACACTTCCTGGTGATCCAGACCTGGTTCTGGCCTCCCCCAGCCCCCATCACAGGTCCTCTGCACGTATATGGCGGTGACCCAAGGCACATCCTAGATTCATTCCACTACAACATTCACCTTAGGTTTCATGTTCTCTCTGTGATAATTTTAGAGAATTAATTTTGACTTGACACTTTTGTTTGATTGAAATCTTTTTAGTGATGATTAGTTTAGAGTGAAACAAGCACTGCTGCTAAGAAACTGGTAAGTTTCTTCAAATTGGTGCTACAAGGAACCATAGCGAGAACCAGAGAGCTGCACCTCCAGCTGGGCAGGCTCTTGTGAAAGGACATGGTGGGAGGCGGGTTTCATCTGGGAGAAAGTTCGAAGAGAGGCAAAATGAAAAACAGTGTCTGTGTGGGTCTGTGACAGAGGCAGAGAGAAATACATTAAGATGCTGGTTTCTGAGAGCTTGAGAGATATGTAGGGAATGAATAAGTTTCTGTTGGTGTCAAGAGGTTAAGTTATTGTGAAGAATTTAGGGACTAAAATAATGAATGATTATTTCTATTGAGAACAAGAGGAAGCACAATATTCGGAGAATTTCGCAAATGTTCTTGAATGGTTTTGTTTATGTGTAGTTCCAGGTTTGGTAACTTCTAAGGTTTATGTAATTTGGGGTCTGTCTTTGATAAACAAAATCCAGAATTTTAAACATAAGATTAGATACCTGGTCTTGGAAGGAGCCTGTAAATGAGGGTGCCTGAAGTTAGGGCTTTATTACCTTCATAGGAAATTCCCACATTTGGGGTCTACTCTTTGCAGAGTGTCACCTTACATTTCTCGTGAGAAATCAGTCTTCTCACTTTTTGTCACATGGCTTATGGGTGGGCACATGGCTCAGGCCTAACCAATAAGAGTACTATATTCTATGGCCACAATAGCTAGTTTAACAATGGGCGTGAGATTGAAGCTAGACCAATGAACTTGGTTTAGGATAGGAAGGCAGTAATTGAGAAACGAAATTTAATTTTCTTTGGCTAACAATAATATGCATGATTTTGGGTCACAATGCAAAGCAAACACACCCAAAGGACTAATCTGATGTCTACCTTTGACTTCCTACACTTTTGAAGGAGCAGACTTGGGGGCTGAACTCCAGTGTTCTGATGAACAGTCATGCAAGCTAATCGTGGAGTGGGAGTTAATGTTAGCTCCGAATGGCATGCTCCACACTATTTAGAGCTTCTAGTGCAAAACAGAAAAATTTGATCCTGATGCTGGTTTGGACAAGGACAAAAAGGACCATTGTCACTTCTTGATTATTAATAAGAGGTAAGTGATGCTTTAAAAGATTAATTTGGCAGTTATAGGTAGGATGTGTCGGAATGAAGAGATAGTGAAACCATTTATGAGGCTATGAAAATAACCTAAGTGGAGGAAGACCTGACTGTGCCAGTAAGAATCAGGGAGTTTAAGAGGATTTTAAGGTCAGAGCATTACCTCATAAAAGGACTGTTTAGAAAACAATCTGAACTCTACCAAGGTAGAAAGCAACAGGTTTTTCAATCTCCTGTGAAAATAACCAAACTCATTGATAATTATCCCTGAAATTTGCATCTAACTCCAGCACGCTCGGAGAGCCTTCCCTGCCTGCGGGGCACTCAGGAACTCTACCCAGCT